AAGGGGGAAAGGGAGACCCTCCCTTCATCATGTCACTTTACAGAAGAGCATCTGACTCCACTCACTAACCGTGTCCCGAAGGCCACCTGGCACATTTGCATGTGTGCGTTGACCACCCCTGAGTTTTGGAGATGCACATTCAAATCATAGAACACTTTGGAATTTACAAGTGGTTAACATTAAAAAGTGGTCCCTAACCACTTTGGGGGTTCAGCAGAAATCACGGAAAAGAAAAGAATGCTGCGTTGACATTTTTGTGTTGTAGTGAAGGAGAAAAAGCAATGCAGGAGAGTTGAAAGTTAATGACAGCAATGAGACCAAGGGTGATGGCAATTTTGCTTTTTTTTTTTTTTTTTTTAAAATATGGTCTCCCTGTGTAGCCCAGGCTGGTTTCACAGCCTCAATCCTCCTGCCTCAGCCTCCCAAGTGCTGAAATTTACAGGTGTGGTGGGGCACGCACACACAATTTTCCTTTTTTTTTTTTTGGTGGTAGTGGAGTTTGAACTCAAGGCCTTACACTTGCAAGCAGCTGCTATACCACTTGAGCCCCTCCTCCAGCCCTTTTTTGCTTTAGTTATTTTTTGGATAACGTCTTGCTTTTTGGTCTGGGGCTGGCCTTGGACTGCGATCTTCCTGTGTATGCCTCCTGTGGAGTTTGCACTACAGCTGTGTGCAACATGCCCACTGTAATTCGTTGAGACGGACCTTGCTAAACCTTTTTGCTCAGGCTGGCCTTGAACTGCTGATCCTCCTGATCTCTTCTTCCAGAGGAGCTAGGATTACAGGTGTCAGTCACTATGCCCAGCCAGACAATTTTGCTTTTTAATGGAGTGGGAAAAATGAGAAGAAAGGAAAAGGAGTAGAGGAAGCAGTAGAGTTTATATCTTTCACTTAGCTTACTGTGGCATTAAACGCTTTTAGTTATTGTGTACTAAAAGTTTCTGGGTTTGGCCTCATTCTTCTCCATTTTGGTGCAAAAGTCCAGGAGGATTCATTGTTAATTATGCTTCCTGTCTGAGATGTTTTTGGTAGTAATTTCCCCATCATAAAATAGCATTTAATTCCTGCTATTCATTCTTTTCCCAGGAAGTAAGTACTAGAGATCATCGTTGCACTTATTTACACGAATGCAGTTAACTTATGTCTGCATATAACAATATTTTAAAATATTTGAGCAGCAGATGTTCAGTGTTTAAACACACAGCAGTGTTTTTAAAATTTTTTGTGATGAAAATGTGAGTTGTTAAAAGTAAACATTCAGGATAGTTTCCTACTTAATGGCTTGGGTATTTTCAAAAGACAAAGTTGTTTCTAATGTTAAGATCACAATATTTAGGATTTGTCACTTGATTGAGTTTTCATTATGAGTGCTTTTGGTGTTTGCTCTGGAAGACAAGCCACAGTGCTATCCATTTTTAATTTTGCATTTACCCTGCAATTTTATATCTAAAATAAGTAAAGATAAGGCTTAAAGAGTATTTTCGTGACTATTGCATTCTTTGGAATTGCTTTTATATGTAAAGATAACTCCTGTGCTGGTTTGATACAAATCTGTTTTCTCTCTTCACACATGAAACAGGTGAAATTAGTGAATATCAGAAATGATGACATAACAGATGGAAATCCCAAGTTGACTTTGGGTTTAATATGGACAATAATTTTGCACTTTCAGGTAAGTCCAACTTTTCTTAATGATGAGTTTAAGTGATTAGTTTTCAGGTGGTTCTTAGGAAGGGTGTTTTTTGTCATCTGAAGGAAAACTGAATGTCAGGCTCACCCGTCTTAAACGTTACACTCAAGTTGTTCTTTTTAGTGACAAGAATGAGCCTTTCCTCTTATTTCCTGTTTTCTCTGAGCTTAAGTTTGAAGGACAACACTTGTAATTTTACACTTGGAAAAGAGATTTCTGCTTCTTGGGTACTGACACATTCATTTTGTTCTTTGGACACTATTAACTTGTTTTTTGGATAAAGGCTGTATGACTCAGTCTTTAATGCAAACTAACTTTTATCCCTAGTGTGAATGAATTTTTCCCTTTGGGCACTAGATGGCAGTAGAATCCCCTAAAGACAGGAGAATTACAAGTTCTGTGTGCAGTTGTCCTTTCTCCATCTAGGTCTGAGGAGAGCGAATGTACGTTTGTCAACCAAGTTATTGTTTAATAAACTTGTGCCAGATGAGGACTGACTTTGATTTAGTGTTTGCAAAATGATACATTTTGAAAAAGTCATCTGCATTTGATTTAAGGTGACTCCTGACTTTGGAGCTTGCTTTATTTTGTTTACTGCTCATCTACAATGGGAACTTTGTGCACAGGGCCAGCTCTATCACAGGCAGGTGGCTGGATACTCTGCAGGAACCAGAAGGAAGAAAGGAGGGAGACAGCTTGCTAGCTTCGCAGAGGAGTAAGACTTAATGAAAAAATAGCAGGTTTGTAGGATAATCGTGGAAAATAACAGGGTCACTTGGGAACAAGATAAATCTGACAGACATAGAGAGCTGCAGAGAGCAGACTAGTTCCAGGCAGCTGAACGGAGTCAGCCGTGAGGAACGAGAGATCCAGGTAAGTGAGGAAAGGTGTTAGCAGCCACACCGCAGGACAGCTGGTGTCAGCGAACGTGCCATCAGCTGCGCTATTGAGGTCAGGCAGGGCCAGTAATAAGACTCCAAGGGGCTGCAGGTCGGCATTACTGGAGAACCCCCTCCTAGGGATCACGGCTACTGAGCAACAGGCCAAGGCAGGGCTTTCTTTGCATGTGCAGCACAAAGCCAGTCTAAGTAGAACCAGCCCAGAAATGGGTGTCATATGGAGCTGCTCAGTAGCGACCTCAGGGATCCTGAATGGAGCCTGGGTGGATTGGGTCCAAGCATTTCAGTGGGGTTGAAACTACAGGAACCCCAGGTGGGAAGGTCAGAGGCCTGTTACAGGAGCGATCCTGTCACTCTGTCACCACAGAGTTGTCACAAGAGCAAGCCTGTCATTCCATCACCACAGAGTCTGGATTCTGAATGTCAGAACAAGGACCACTATGGGGTAGTACGATGCACACAGGTAGTAGAAGAAGGAGAACTAAGGTTCATTCTTGGCCTTTTTACTTACTGCTGTGATGACTTTGGGTCATTTACTTAACTACTCTGAGCTTGAAAAATGTGTTTTAGGAAACAGAATCAATCTATCCAAGTCTCTGTAAAATAGATGGAAATGACTGGAGTCCACAGCCAGGGAAATAAGCTAAGGGTGGTGACCTCAGAGTAGAGTGATACAGGCCACAATTCAGGTGAGGGTAAGAAATTGCGTCCAGGAGGTGACAGATGGAAAGAAAGAGACTTAGCCACAGGGCACAGAGGATGGAAGAGGGCTTAATTCAGGATGAATTAAACTCAGTAGCCTGAGAAATCAGTGTAGAGTAGGCTTCAGAGAGACCTGGGGGAGAGGGTAAGGGCAAAGCTACTGACCTCTTGGAAGGGTTTGATGGGATGGTGGGCTATCATGGGCGTTTGTCTTCACAGCACCTGGAGACAGGTGATCGAGCAGACTCGATAATAATAAACTTAGTGTAAGCAGTTTTCATGCTTCATAGTGGTGAGGCAAGTGGAAGTTGAAGCTGTGAGAGAGAAGGGTCTTGAAGAGTCCCCAAGGGACGTCCACAATGGAGAAGAGCTGAAAGTTGAAAGTAGAATCTGGAGGACCCACGATGGCAGGTGTAGAAGGTCCTGCTGAGGACCCAGGAGAGGAGTATTTGGAGAGATGGCGAAGCAGCGGGAAAATGAATTGATGAAGCTGGGGGAAGAAAAGTTTAAGCAGGAAAGAGTGGTGAGCAGCAGGACACAACAGTGAAGATGAGCAGATCTAGCCAGGGTACAGGTTCACGGTTTGTTCTAGAAGATGTTGGAGCCCCTGGAAAAAAACATTCCTGAGCTACTGGGAACAGAAACTAGGAAGTAACAGATGGAAGTGTGTGTAAACAGTTGGAATTAGGAGCAGTGTGTTCAGACTCCAGGTGTAAAGCTATTTAAGAATTACATGTTCAGAAAGTTCTTTGGGGTTCAGGTGTTTTTTGGAGAGAGGAGTATTAGTTACTAAAGTATCAAAATAAGTTTTCTTTCCAGTATCCTTCTGAATTACAAGATATTATGACTATTGCTACCAGTACTTAAAAATTAGACCAAGATCTGTTTATAAAATGGGACCTATTGGGCTGGGTGATGGTGTGTGTGTCTGTAATCTCAGCTACTTGAGGGGTGGAGATAGCAGGAACATGGCTTGAGGCCAGCCCAGGCAAAGTTAGCAAGATCCTACCTCAGAAAGAAAACAAGTTGGATGTGGTGGTACCCTTCTTTAATTCCAGCTACTTGGGAGGCAGATATAGATAGTAGAATCACAGTCAAAGGCCAGAGGCAAAATAGCAAAACCCTATCTGAAAAACAACTAAAGCAGAAAGGGATGGAGCCATGACTCAAGTGGTAGAGCGCCTGCTTAGCAAGTGCAAGGCCCTGAGTTCAAACCCCAGTACCACCAAATAAATAGATAAATGAGTAAACACCATAAGATGTAATATAATCTGTGTTTTAGTAAAGTGGAAATGTTCTTTCTTATTTAAATAAAGTAACTTTTGTGAGTAAGATGAGAACTGAAGGGTAGAGCTGTTTTCTGGTTATGCCAAACTATAAAGCTGTTTATAACATGCGGTAACCACCCTCGCTCAGAGTGGCCGAGCCTTTTCCCTTTGTCCTGTACATAAATGAGGGAAGTAACTTCAGAAGACCAATTTGTTTATTTGTTTGAAAATACTTGTTCTAGGCATCCCAAGGTGAGTCTGTTTTTTTAGTCAGGCATTCTGAAGGCTGGCTATCCTGTGTCCTAACAGTGCCTCGTCTGTTAGGAGGATGTTCATAAACGTGACCACAATCAAGGGTGATGGACAGATTGGTGATGCAAATAACAACAGGGGTGTGTGGGAGCATTGTGATAGGGACTGGGAGGGGATTAGGAGGAAATTTGCGTGGATATTCACCATAGGCTTTGCAAGATTAATACCAGGTACAAAAGTTGGGCCATTTCAAAAGCAGTGTATGTGGCCAAAAAATGGACGGTTGATTCTTAGCTTGGCAGGACCTGAGGGACGGGTGGGCGATGCTAGTCACTGGTTGCCTCTCCAGCACGTCAGGACAAAAGCCAGTCATTATATATTGAAATACTCTGGAATAATGTTCTGTATCCTTTGGAGACATTGAAAAGTTGAATTAACAGCAAACAAGTCAACCCAAGGCCTTATTTTTGCCAGCCTTCATCTAGGATATTAAGGTATTGCCCTGGAGAACGTTTTAATTTCCTTTCTGTGTGATTAAGGAAACCTTACTTTGCCAGTTCTATTATTGACAAATTTGCAACAACACTGTTTGGTAATTGTTGACTATTTAGTTGAACGCTGTGCTCAGCAGAATGTCATGAGCTCCACCTTCTGATCAGGGTCAAGACTGTAGAGAGAGGCAGCGATCCGTTTCTTTTCCTGTGGCCCAGAGATCTTTGCCTACGTGTAAGTCCATTTCATGCTGTACTGGTTTCCTTCGCACCTTATCTATGACTCAGCATTGGAAATATGCACACCTTAGATAATCCGGTTCCATACTGCTTTCTTACTTCTCCAGCAGGGCCCCACTAAAACTGCATAATATTTAACTAGCGTGCGATTCTCAAGGTCACATGTAAAGTTTAACTCCCTGAACTCAGGTGTGAGCATGCCCTGACAATTCCTCTGCCGAGTGTTCCATGCCTTAAATTACCATGAATCTATTTGCTTGTGTGAAAATCCTAGTGATCAGGTAGTGACCATGGCTTGGAGATCTGTGTTATTTGAGAAATGTTCCAAACTATTTTAAAAGACAAATTTGGAAAGAATTTTATGAAGGTGTTTTAGGCATGCAGTCTTTTCTCTCTCTCAGTCAATTACTGGATCATATCTTATGCCTGCTGTTTTGAATAGGGGTCAAAATAGTTTAGAGATTTTCAAGCTTTTTCTTTGAGTGTGCAAGACCCCACATTAGTTGCTGTTTCTTAAGAGAAAAATTTACAGGCTAGAGGGGAGGGGCTCCCTGACCGTACTTGAAAGGCACCTTGCTGAGTCTCTCCTGACTGGTGTTTGCTTTCTGTTTGTTCTGATTTGCTGAGCCACCAGTAGTTTCAAAGGTTAATGCAAACTTCAGTAGTTTGCCTTTCGGAAAGCACTGCCTTTCGGAAAGCAGTGTTAAAGTGAAGATGCAGTAAATCTCAGGGTTTGCCTTGAAAGCTCATGGGTGTTGTAATTCGACAGTGAGCAGTCCTGTTTGTCTAAGAGGATTGGTGGCCAGAAATAAGCCACGGTGTCTAATGAGACACAGGGACCCATCTGGGCAAGATGCCACAGCATTTCTTGCGGATGCCTTTCTCATAAGCAACATGGCCACTGGCTGAAGAGGATGGTCACAGAGTCTGAGGAATTAGAGGTCAGAGTGGAGTTTTTGGGCTCAGGAAGAAGGAGGCCTAAGGAAGCCCTAGATTTTGAAATGAGTGAGTTTGTGGAGCTGTGACCGACTCCAGATCAAATGGGGAATGTCTGTGGCTGTGTCAGAGCTGAGAAAGAAGAACAGTATTTAGATCCTGCCAAAACTCCTTTGAGCCCTGAGAAATACTCCCCTGGAAGAAAATATTTCAGAAGAAAACCGGACCAGAAGATTGTAGGGGATGCAGAGCCAGCAGATCGAGACAGTGAAAATGAGGGCAAGAAGAAGAATGTGCTTTTATCCACAGGAGGGGTACAGGATGGAGCTGCTGTCCAGGTCCCCACGCTGTGGGACAGTGCTCAACAAGAGCAGACAGAAGCTGTGGCTGATGATGTTGAACAGAAACTTTACCGAGTGAAGACTTCGCCTGCTAAAGACAGACAGACACAAGTACAAGTCAGTGCACCAAAAGACAGTGTTCCATGTTGTGCAAAGAGAAAAAGACATTTAACTGATGTCAACTCCGGAGAAATAACATTCCAGAGAAAAACTGATGTTTTTCCTTTCCGGAAGGCAGCCAGCCTAAGTTCCGTCCACGGTGGTACAGAGGGACCTTTGGGGAACAGTGGGCTTGCAAACAAGTCATCAGGACACTATCTCAGTGTTCAAAAAAGGCAAAACCCTGAGCGGTCTTGCCTTTGTGCCGCAGACCACTTTCGGTGCAAAGAAAGGAGCTGTCAGTCTCTGTGCCCCACTGCGTCCTGCGTTTCTAAGGACACAGGTGGAGATGAGGTAAGGGGAAGGTGGAGTCTGAACTTACGGGGTAAATAAGAATTCCTTGTGCTCTCAACAGACTTTTGAGTGTTAGCTTCGTATTGGTTTATGTGAAAGCTGTAGAATTTGGGTGTGTTTTATTCATGGCCTTATTATGATTGTTTTGCATCCTCTATAGCCTTTATTTACACTTTAATTCAGAACCCTGTGTACTTTCATTGATGCATTACTTAGAAAAGCACCGGTGTAGGAGACGTATGTCTTTGAATGTGTCTGATTCATGCTTCTTGACTTTTTTTTAATGGAAACTTGGCTGTATAAAGAAAAGTGAGAGAGGGCTCGTGATAGTTCAATATTTCAAAACAGAGAGTAGACAGGATTTTAAATGCTCCCAATACAAAGAAATGATAAATGTCTGAGGTGGTGGATCTGCCAGTACCCCTGGATCAGACCATTATTGCAAACTGCGTACATGGATAGAAATGTCACAATGTGCTCTCACAATATGTACAATTACTCTGTATCAATTAAAAATATAAAAGTGTATTTAAAAAGAAAGTAGTCCTAACAAGACATTAGCCTGGCTATTGTCCAGAAGCTTGGCTCTGTAGGATGCAGCACAATTGCCAGTCAATCTGACTTGCTGTTCCTTAAATTCAAAAGGACAGATTCCAGTTTTCCTGCACGAAAACAGTTACATGTTGCTTTTGATTTTGGGTGTGTGTTGAGGCACATTGCCCAAATCTGTTCCATCCCTTTGTGATACGAGATATTCCTTGGCACCAGCCTAGAACCACAGCTCGTTAGGGAGGATACTGTAGGAGTGTGAATGTGACACAGACTACCAGGAAGTTGAGATCTTTATTCTTAACATATATGTAGCTTTGGGCAAATTACACATTTAGGGTTTTCACTCGTCTTTAAAGTGTAGCAGGATCTGTGTTGTTTGCTTCCCAGGGAGCATATTACCCGCAGCAGCTTCTGCCTGTTACCAGTTGGAGGTGGATGGTGTTTCACTGATCCCTAACTTTATTTTTTAATAAAAAGTCTGGGCAGAATTGTGTTTGACATTGTGTCATTGGGAAGAGGCCGTTTGTACAGGGATAGCAGGCGGTTTTGCTGGGGTTAGTGTGCACAGTCATTGACATTGGTGTCTGAGTTCCGGCGAAGGTGTCCTTGTGTGTGCACACCACACACCTCGCCAGCATTCCGTCATCAGTTCTGTTTACACTTTACGGTGGCTGCACTTAAAAAGTCTCATTATGTCGATCCGGCATAAAGACCAGTTCAAGGAAACTCCTCACTCCGTGCTTACGAATGCAAGCACTTGTTTATTCTGACATTTGTGTTCCAGATGTTTTTGGGTTTTTTTCCCATAATTTGTCTTCAAGAAAGCAGCACATTTTTTCATTCATGGAAGTACTTTATATCTGTTTCCTAAGTGGTACATAAGCCTTTCTCTTTGGTGTTATTTTTACGGCAAGAATTTTACCCTTGTTTGTCATTTGTGTACCCAGTGATTTTTGAAACTTCAGTGGAAAATACATGTGGCATTAAATTATAAAGCTGACAGTCAGATTTATTAGCTAATTGATCTTCTAGGTCAAAGGTGAGTGGCATAGCCCTCATTTTATCTGAGGAGTTAAGACATCTCTCTTCCTTCAGTCCAGAAAAGGACTATTTAGTCTGTGTCACAAGCAGCCAGGGCTGACGTTTCACTATTGCTCTGTGGGCATTCTTTGTGTTTCCTTGGAGATGTTTGTCTGTGTTTGCTTAGTTGTCTGCCAGAACCTCCAGAGAACTATTTCTCTTGCACTGTATTCTACGTTTTGCATTGGAGGATTGGATGCAACCGTCAGCTCCCAGCCGTGTCCCTAGTATTTCATCCTGAAATGGCTTGGTAGCCACACTTCCTTATTTTCCCCTTCAAGTTCTTTTTCCTGTCTTCCCCACTTGAACCATTCCTACATGTAGTTGTGTGCAGGGTTGAGCTGGGTGACATTTGAGTTAATTTCTAAGTAGAATAGTTTGTAATTCTTTGATCTCATCTTAACCTGGCTTGAACTCGCTGGTCCTGTGACATTAGTCATTCTCAGTACAGATGACCAGCCTGCCTCTCCTTTAAGTCCTTGTCATAATGTACTGACCTAGAGTTGCACTCTGGGCCACTCAGCCAGCCCTTCCTTGCCTGCCTGATGAGTATAAATCTCACAGTCATGAAATACATTTGTTAAGATAAGTAGGTGAGTTTAAAAGAAATATCTTAGATTTGTATGTTGCTTTGGAGCTGGAAAAATGCTTTCAGAGTTGTGTCTTGATTATCCCAACAGCTGTATGAAATAGGAAAAGTAAACATTCTCACACAGAATGAAACAGAAAAAGGGTTGAATAAGTCCTGAGGTAATACACTAATTGGGTACTGATGGCTGAGTTAGAGTGCGGCTCAACAGTTCTGCTTGGTTGTGGTGACATGCCTGTAGTTCCAACTACTCAGAAGGCTGAGGCAGGAGAATTGCGAGAGCCCTGGAGTTTGGGGCTGCAGTTCTCTGTGCTGATCAGGTGTCCCACTAAGCTTGGCATAAGGAGCTGAACCTGCCCAGTTCAGAAATGGAGTTCTCATGTAGTAGGCAGTGAGCTCTCACCTGTGAATAGCCACTGTGCTGCAGCCTCGGCCACATGGCAGGACCCTGTTTCTTTAAAAGCAAAAAAAAGTTCTGAAGGAAATGGCTGGGAAGAGGTCAAATCAGAGCTTGATGTTTAAGGGTCATCTGTGGAGGGCGAGACTGTACAGACAGGTGACAAAGGGTAGAGACCCTGTGGGAATCATGGGCTCAGTGTCTGAACCCATCTTAAGTACCCACTGTCTAAGGCTCACATGCTTCCACACCTTGTGACAAGGACTCTGACCTTTGCCCTTGAACTCTCCTGGAAAGCATTATTCTTTCTTTACACCAACCCCACCTCTTCCCTGTTTTGTTAGGTTGACGTCAGCAAAGGTAGTTGATTCCTCTATTCATGAACCACATGGAAGAGGAATCTGAGATTTTAAAAAATAGGTGGACGTCTGGATATCACTACCTTGGTTGTAAGGAATTAGACCAGGGTGGGGTGCAACAGGTGACTGTAGTGGTCAGTGGATGGAAAACATTTTACTATTCTCATTCTGCAGTGGCACTTTTCAGTGTCCCAGGCTCCACCACCACCCCACTGCGCCCCAGACTTACTCAGAGCATTTCTACTGGGAGAGAAGGCATGCATGATAGGCACCTGCTCATGTGTTGTTAAAAACACACTGAATTTCTTTTTTTTTTCCTTCAATTTTTCTTTTATTATTCATATGTGCATACAAGGCTTGGGTCATTTCTCCCCCCTGCCCCCACCCCCTCCCTTACCACCCACTCCGCCCCCCCCATCCCCCCCCCTCAATACCCAGCAGAAACTATTTTGCCCTTATTCTAATTTTGTTGTAGAGAGAGTATAAGCAATAATAGGAAGGAACAAGGGTTTTTGCTGGTTGAGATAAGGATAGCTATACAGGGCATTGACTCACATTGATTTCCTGTGCGTGTATGTTACCTTCTAGGTTAATTCTTTTTGATCTCACCTTTTCTCTAGTTCCTGGTCCCCTTTTCCTATTGGCCTCAGTTGCTTTAAGGTATCTGCTTTAGTTTCTCTGCGTTAAGGGCAACAAATGCTAGCTAGTTTTTTAGGTGTCTTACCTATCCTCACCCCTCCCTTGGGTGCTCTCGCTTTTATCATGTGCTCAAAGTCCAATCCCCTTGTTGTGTTTGCCCTTGATCTAATGTCCACATATGAGGGAGAACATACGATTTTTGGTCTTTTGGGCCAGGCTAACCTCACTCAGAATGATGTTCTCCAATTCCATCCATTTACCAGCGAATGATAACATTTCGTTCTTCTTCATGGCTGCATAAAATTCCATTGTGTATAGATACCACATTTTCTTAATCCATTCGTCAGTGGTGGGGCATCTTGGCTGTTTCCATAACTTGGCTATTGTGAATAGTGCCGCAATAAACATGGATGTGCAGGTGCCTCTGGAGTAACAGTCTTTTGGTATATCCCCAAGAGTGGTATTGCTGGATCAAATGGTAGATCATGTCTAGCTTTTTAAGTAGCCTCCAAATTTTTTCCAGAGTGGTTGTACTAGTCTACATTCCACCAACAGTGTAAGAGGGTTCCTTTTTCCCCGCATCCTCGCCAACACCTGTTGTTGGTGGTGTTGCTGATGATGGCTATTCTAACAGGGGTGAGGTGGAATCTTAGTGTGGTTTTAATTTGCATTTCCTTTATTGCTAGAGATGGTGAGCATTTTTTCATGTGTTTTCTGGCCATTTGAATTTCTTCTTTTGAGAAAGTTCTGTTTAGTTCACTTGCCCATTTCTTTATTGGTTCATTAGTTTGGGAGAATTTAGTTTTTTAAGTTCCCTGTATATTCTGGTTATCAGTCCTTTGTCTGATGTGTAGTTGGCAAATATTTTCTCCCACTCTGTGGTGTTCTCTTCAGTTTAGAGACCATTTCTTTTGATGAACAGAAGCTTTTTAGTTTATGAGGTCCCATTTAACTATGCTATCTCTTAGTTGCTGTGCTGCTGGGTTCCATTGAGAAAGTTCTTGCCTATACCTATTAATTCCAGAGTATTTCCTACTCTTTCTTGTATCAACTTAGAGTTTGGGTCTGATATTAAGATCCTTGATCCATTTTGAGTTAATCTTGGTATAGGGTGATATACATGGATCTAGTTTCAGTTTTTTGCAGACTGCTAACCAGTTTTCCCAGCAGTTTTTGTTGAAGAGGCTGCTATTTCTCCATTGTATATTTTTAGCTCCTTTGTCAAAGACAAGTTGGTTATAGTTGTGTGGCTTCATATCTGGGTCCTCTATTCTGTTCCACTGGTCTTCATGTCTGTTTTTGTGCCAGTACCATGCTGTTTTTATTGTTATTGCTTTGTAATATAGTTTGAAGTCAGGTATTGTGATACCTCCAGCATTGTTCT